AACAAAGCTCGTCGAGGCAGTCGGTGGTTGGGCATACGCAACACATGTCCCAACAACCACCTCAACTGATGAATTTTCATTACTTCATCTATTGATCTGCCATTCTTACCTAGCACCCGATTCCTAATAACAGCGTTGCTCACTCGGGTGTCCCACGATTTACGAGCAATGCTGTGAGGACACCTATGATCGAAAACCAATAACCTACGAATATCTTCTACTCTCACTGGCCATGTTTTACAGCCATGAAATAAGACGGAGCGAACTGCTGCACAGTACACTCGTCCTTTAGTCAGCAAACGGTAGTGGGCTATAACAGCTGTGAAAAATTGATCTAATAATATTAAGAATAAAAATATGTCATAACCAACAACAATAACTGGTTTACTGAACTCTAGGCTTAAAGTCATACCTGACGGAATGTACCAAATAAAGTACTTCGATGTTCAGGGATTATATAAAGATAAATAATGAATACAGTTGTTTCATTATGTTTGACTTCAAACCATATTATACGCCCATCAATTATGATCTTTTTACGCACCTCAAATATGAATTTTATCCCCTTTAATGCAGTTTAAACAAAACCAATGTCTTTACAGATTGATTCTATTATAACTTGTCTACTCCGACCATAGCTGCTACCTTGACATGGTGGTGGTCGGGCTTGACTACTGTGATGACCCAACCAAGCTATATTGACTGGAACATATGTTCCTGTAGGTTCTACCATGCCAGGCAGATCGATTGGAGAACAGACAGACAGGTACAATACAGAACTTTGTACGTCTAAACATCAGTTCAGGTTGACATACGGCATTAGCACAGAGACGCAAGTGTCAGTTCAAATCCAATAGTGGTAGCTATAGTAGAAATATTAGCAGTAATGGAGAGTATAAGGGTATAATTCAGTGAGATAAAGTTAGAAAGACAAAAAGTAGAGGTGCTGACGAATCCAGAAGATTACGATTTGAGAGAGCACAACCAATGGATGCATTTGCGCCATTGCAAACGATTTTGAGCCATGTCATTCAAGGTCTCTAACCATCGGTGACTTTCATCTCGCAGACTTCAACCATGTAGCCTGAATCTACCAATATGACTCAGTCCACTTGTAAGCAATATCATGGATTTGTGCCATGTTTTGGTTTGGGCGCCCCTAACTTTCTTCCAACTTACTCCTACATCGCAAAACATAGCTTGTCCGATGAGATTAAAAGCACCTACTCAAGGTCTGAATACGAAGTCATACTGCTAACTGTAGAGGGTTGTGACACCAGTAACGTGTTTCCCTCGAACAACCAGCATCTACAGCGATGCTACCTTCTCACAAGGAAGGAAGAGTTAGAAAAGTTCAACCCTAAAAATATCACATCTCACCTTACCTCATGGATTTTCGACTCTAGCGGTAAGGCCTGTTAAACAAGAACGGAGCTAAAACGTTAAAAGCTTCTCATAGAAAGGACATGCAGGACCGGGCTCAAGCAGTTGTCCCTTAGGCTCTGCGGTCATACTCCCAGGTGTCTAAGACCAACGCTAATCTAACTTCCTTTTCAGGTCCTTCAAGAAACACCCACGGTGTGGGCAACCGGGAAGTGACATCCAACCTCATACCCGTAACAGTCAGTCAATCAGTCAGATGCAACGTAGAACTTCGTACGTAAGTACATCAGTCATGTCGCCATACCACATCAGCACAGAGATATAATTGTCAATTCAAATACAATAGTAGAAGAGGTAGTAAAGGTATTAGAAGTAATCGAAGAGGTTAGGATTAGAAGATATTATTCAAGAAGTATGTGATTCGGTGAGATAAGTTTAGAAAGTCAAAAATAGAGTTGTCGAAGAACCCAGAAGATTAGGATTTGAGAGAACACAAAGAATAAATGCACCGGCGCCATTGCAAACGGTTTTGAGCCATGTCATTCAAGGTCTCTAACCATCGATCATTATCATCTCGCGGACCCCAACCAGGTAGTCGACAACTACCGACATGGTTAAGTCCACTCGTCAATGATTTCATGGATTTTTGCCATGTTTTGGTCTGACCGCCCCTAGCTCTCTTCCACCCGTTTCCTAATAACAGCGTTGTTCACTCGTGTGTCCCACGATATACGAGCAATGCTTCGGAGACATCGATGATCGAAAACCAGTAACCTACGAATATCTTCTACTCTGACGGGTCATGTTTCACAGTCATAAAGTAAGACAGAGTAAGACAGCACACTATCGTGAAGGTTTTATTCAAAATCTATTCACACAAGCTCATATATCATTTATAAGAAATAATGTAAGACTGAGTTATATATATATATATATATAAATATTTGTTAATACAGAAAATATATGTACTGATATGTACATAGATTAAGAAAATACATTACAACCTGTTGACCAATACAAAGTCACAGGTTTGCATAAACAAATTTCATTTAATAAATCTTTCGTAAGTATATCTTCACAATTTAAATTTACAATAGTTGAAGGTTCACATAAATTAGGTAAGATAGAATCAAGTTCTGTTATATGACCACAACTACTACTACTACTACTACTACACTGGTGTATAGTTATCAAAGAAGGCATACTTAATCGTTTTTGAATTTTGTTAATATCATCTAAAAATTTATTTTTTTCATTATTCAACTCATTGTTTATCATAATTAAAACAATAGCATTACCTGCAAATAAAATACAAAATACTAGCTTTAAAATGTAAGTACAATTTTTCAAATTAGATAACAGTTGACAGTCTATAACAAGAACAATTGGTCCAGCTGGTTTCAGACAAATATGAGCCACGGGAATAAGAAGAGTATCTTGTCTTTTTGAAGTGAGAAAAAGGCTCCCTGAACCTCCTAGAAGTTTTCTACTGTAATTCATAAATAATTTGTAAGCTTCTTTCTCAATTGGAACACTGGTTATAGGTTCACCTTTCAGTAATTCACTTTGTATTAATTCATAACCTTTACTGATTGAATTGATTTGAGCAGTACGAGCAGTTGACATGATTGTACTTAAAGTTTTGTATAATGTCCCTATATTATTGTTCATTTTTGTTAATTTATTCACAAAATATGATAAACCATTTATTTCAAACAATCTTGTATACATTGTAGCAGCTAGTTGTCGACTAGAAGCATTTATAAAAATATTATCGACACCTGATAGTAATAACATTTGATAAAGTTGCCAAATGATATTTGAATCTGTTTGCCATAGATTAATTATCGTTTCATAATTCATTGAATTAGCTTCATCAAGCTTATGATTATTAAGATAATTAATGAAATAGGTCAATAAAGATATACTTTCTTTTACAGTACGAAAGCAGACAATATAAGCAACTGGACCAGTGTTTCTATTGAATTTCACAGAGGATGGAGTAATATCATGTACAAAGATTGGAGAATATGGTATTTTTTGATCATGGCAAAGAATCCTAGCACCAATAGAATCTGTATAAGTGATTAATTCATGAATATATTTATTACAAAATGATGGATATTCCGATTTCTTATCATTTTCTAATTTTGATATGGTTGTATGTAGATTAAGAAGATTCTCAATACGTTTAATAAAACGTTTATATATAGATTCTTCCACTAAAATGATAGGTGAATGACCTATTCCAGTACCGAAAGCATTTCGTAATGATGATACACAATATCTTGTGGCTGAATCAATGTCAGATGACTGATAAACCATTGTTATGTTTCTACTGTGACAATAACTTTCTGTGTTTTTGTTAAAAATAGGTAGAAAATTAAATAATTTGTTCGGAGGAGTAGATTCATGAATAATATGAGTTAACATAGTCAATGGTGCCATCAGTCGTGGTGATTTGCATGTAACAATTAAACCATGGGATTTTCCACGATAAACAGGATAGCATAAATAACGAAGAATGAATGTAAAGTGAAAAATAAAATCACAATCATCTTTTTCAACTACGTGGTTAGGATAATAAAAACACTGCTCATCGATTAAGGGAAATTGAATAAACTGTTTCATCTTTTTAAGGATTTCACGTATCACTTCACTAAAGAAATCTGTAGATTCAAATTCAAGTGAAGCAAACAGGCAGTCAAGTAAAACAGGCATCTGAATTTCGAGAGAGTTTACAAGCTTTTTTAAAAAGCTTTCCAAAGACTTTGAATCATATTCAAAGCTTTCTGCAAGTTTGATAGCTTCTTGATATGCTGACTGACAGCTGAACACAGAAAGATCTAGTGAACCAACTTGCGTTGTATTCATGATTTCTTTCTTTTCTGGTTCAATGAAAGCCCCATTTACATACGGGAGGATGTTTCGACATTTTTCTTCAAATGATTTATTGACAGACATTGTGAAATAAACGAATGAAGGTAACTTGGAAAAAGGAGTAAAATGTTATGACAACTTATTGTAATCTTCAACTCGATCAGATGACCGAAACTGCCGTATGCGTGAAGAAACCCGGTTAGTAGAATAAGAGAAGAAATTGGGCTGACAAATCAATCAGCACACTGAATATACTTGTAACGTTCACACTTTGGTAATTTGATGTCTATCTTGCGTCCTGGGGATATGAGTAGGAATAGGTTAGAGAATCTGGAAGAGGAAAAAACGAGAGAGAAAGTAAGACGAAGAATCAGTGAGCAAATATTATTCGACAACGAAAACACATAGCGAACTAACACCCACTAACGAACGCGGCAAAAGCCAACCGCACCAATGACCTTCGGCAACTTGTAGGTCAATGAGGCGATACCATCCAGTTGTATCCAATATCCAATATCTTCTTCACGGACTAGTTTAAACTAATTTCCTTTGTCACACTCTCTTCTTGTTTTTCTGGTACTTTTCCAAGTGTCTGGTAATGCCCAGTGAGTGTTAGACCAAAATTATATGGCCCGATGATCCTGAAACACAACTTTAGACTTACACCTCATTCGATGATTTAATCGAGTCAGCAGACACCACTCACTCGAGGAATGGGTTCAAAGAGTTGATGACTCGGTGTGCAAATCTGGATCCCACTGCTAACTTTTTCGTTTTCGGCTGGTAAACTTGCCTGATATTTCCTCTAAATCGTTCTAGTCTGGAGAGAAACAGACAGTCACTATATCAGGTCCAAAGTCTTGTCTTGGTGTTCATTACGAAATCGGATCAACTCTCAGGACAGAGCAAATAAGTCTAACTTCTCGCATTGCTAATTGTATGTATATTACCTACATGCATATGCTTATTAAATACTTTCCTATGAGACTCCATCTTGGTGTTGTCATCTGGACCTGAATTTGGCTGGGGATCATTGGTTTCTCCAGACTAAACGGTCACTAATCTGCTGCTTGCTGTTCTTCTGTGGGAAGTTATATGGCTGTCTAACAACTTCAAAACTTCGACAACCAGCTGCACCTTTTGAAAGCATCATGCTTTGCATAGCCAAGATGAGAGTAGCCTCCAGTAACTGTTACACACAGCAATTGTGAGTCCGGTAAGCACATGCGAGTTATCTCGATCTATCCCACTCTTGCTGGAAAGAAGCAAGTGGATCTCACAAAACAATGCTTATTCTGCACCATATCAATCGTTTCAGGACAAATTGAAAACAAAAACTAAATTTCTCTAAACATAGGAAAACAGGATTAAAATAAACCCACTGAAGAAATGTTTCGTAAACTTCAAAAATGATGGACAGTGAATGTCAAGACGTTTTTTATGTCGTCGAATCGACGAAAAGAGTAAAATAAAAGGGAAACTCGAGCAAACTGGCCTATTTCCCGAGTGACAATCACCAGATATTTTTTATGTTCTTGAACGTTTTCATTTACTGAAGAGGATAATTTGACAAATGAGGGTATGTTACCCGTCTCTATTTCTTCGGACTATTATCTTTTTTCTTTAGACGTACTAGGTTGGTGACTTATCACATTTTAGTATCTTTAAAACTTCATCCATTGTAGAATTCTTTTTGAATGTTTTGTTTTTTGGAAAATCCCACCATGTTTACATATTTTTGTTATGACATGACGGACTCTTTCTGTTGACATTTTGGTATTTTATTTGATTCCAATTTGAGATTTTATCATTGTATGTTGTTATTCTTTCTATATTTGTACTTATATTGAAGTTTTTGTGTTTGCTTCTGAACTGTACATATATTGTTTAAATTTGATATAATATGGCTACCGCCACATTTTTGGATGGACGCGGTGGCTGCTGGACTTAGTGTCACTTACTAGCTATTGTACTGGATACTCTACGGAGTAAATTTAACCCTGGAAGAAGCACAAATACCGTAAGACTCTGTATTTCCATTTTATAATAATAAAGAGACGTTTTCTCCTAGAATTTTGTCCTTTTTTGGAATTGATTGGGACCCGCGACTAGGAAGAACGTACAGGAGTGTTTCTATTGGAAACAATTAGGACAGCCACTGTCGAAATAAATCTACATCCATAAAGTCCCACTGTTAATAATTATGTAGCTACAAAGTAATTTCTTATTTGCCGGCTAGTCACTCAATGTAGTCACTATAGTAATTCATTATTACATCTGTCAATTTTGGCGTTCACATAGGGACAGTCTACTTTGTTTTCCTTTATGCGCGTGTTGGCTACAGACTGAGGTGGAAGAGGACAACAGCTTTTAAAATCCTTTTAGGCCATTTCACAATACATGTGATCTTTAGCCTTAATTAAGCCGGAAACGCTATTGGATTACTGCCTCGCTTCATGGCGACGGGACCAAACGCACAGAAGGACATGGTGGTTACTCAGTAAGCAAAACTTTGATATACCATTCATTGCACAGACTTCGTTGTTATTTTTTTCACTTGATTTATGTACGGTTTTTCCTAGCTTCATGTTGCGATTGAACTTCTTGTGCGCAGATACTTATTTCGCATAGTATTTTGCTTTTTGCATTTTATCGCATTTCGATTTTGTTATTCGGGCATACTACAATGGAAAATGGAAGGACAGAAGTAAAGGCGAATAGATAAATTCTTTAGTTCATTAAACTCATAATAAAATTAGTGTAGAATCCTTTTTGGAATGCTTTGTGTGGGTAAATCCCTCCATGTATACTTTTGTAATGTTCTTATTGGCTCTTTCTGTTCTACATTTTGGTGGTCTGTTTAGTCCCATTTTGGGATGTTAATATTTGTATTTTGGTATAGTTTCTATTTTTTGTACCCTTTTTGAGTTTCTATGTTTCTTTCCGAACTGTATTATGTTGTTTAAGTTGATACCGAATTATGGCGACAGCCATATATAATTTTGTTTCTGCAGCGGCTGATACATTCATCTGGACTGGAAGGAAAATGTGTATTATTGTTTAGGTAATAATTTGAATTTTTATTTATGATTATTAATAGAACTGTTACTTACCCAGATCAATTACTTTCTTTTGGGTTAACTGGGCAAGGCGCGTATCTGAACTTTCTGAACCGTTATTCCTGAAATCCAAACTCTGTTTCTGTTTTAAAATAAGCAGGCAGATTAAAGGGGATGATGAGAAGCAGGGTGATGTTGGGGATTAATAAAACTCATAAAATATTAGAATACAACGTTCTTATGCTGTTTCTGTATGTATTCTCTTTTTAACGCGGCTTTTGTACACTCTAGGGTGAGCCATGTGGAGGTGTTAAACATAGACTTATTTTGCAACTAACTCTTCTTAGTTTTTACATTGTTCGTAATTTGCTTTCATTTTTTCAGTCAGTTCTTGACTTTAAAACGGTTTATTTCATTCTGAACTTGCGTGCCAAATCAAATACCACTATTAAATACCTTGCCACCCGAGAACTGTTCGTTTTCAGTTATAATATATTTGTTCTCAAACATTGGCGTGTTACAAGAGGTTTGCTACTTTACAGGCAAGGTAAAATTGTTTTTAATGCTACCTCACTTACAGTAACAGGTTGCACGGTTGAATTAATAATAAGAGTTTTTTCTAACTACAAGTTTACTCCATGCCGTCGACAGGAATAATATGATACAGACATATTTACAACAAGTTGTTACACACAACGTAGGTGCACAATAGAATTTTTAGGCGGTGTTCATATTACAGGGGTCAATTTGTTGGGAAATATCCACCGAGAGGAGCTTGATATAAGCTGTAATCGTGATGGGAGTGTAAGATGGATTTTGCGTTGTTCCACTGTTGGTAGGTTCCTGAGAAGCGACAAAAGATAGAAAGTAAGAGACCAATAATTCAGTTGCATATACATATATATAACCAGAGGATAGTTTAACCGTTCTTGACAGAAATCTGCCGCGCAAAAAGATCGCTAGTATAACTTTTAAGTGTGTTTACATATCATAATTACCTTCCGAAGTTATGTTCCTGGCATACATTGTTTGGATCATGTTTATATGACGTGTTTGGGCGGTATTCCTTATGTTTTATAATAGTGGATTGTATGACCGAAAAAAATTGGAACATGCACCCTGCGGAAAATCTCACTGAAGTCTGTTATAATTTTTGTGAGTATATTAGCATAGATTTAGCTGTCATCCGTAATATGGACACCATTTTTTGTTTCTCTTGCAAACTACCCATATTTTTACATCGTTTCTGCATCGTTTGGACCATTATTTTAGTACTTCTGTAAAATGTAATGTAAATATGATAAGGGCGTCCATAATAGTACTAAGATTGCCTCCACCCGTAGTGTCTGAAGCAACTACAGTCAGTTCCATTTCCGAGCCCGGAATCCCCTTCATACGAAGTAAAGAACCCATGGATATGATCATCGTCAGTGGCAGCTTCGTTCGTGCCACGTGGTATCAGGTCGCCCGCAACCAGATGCACTTATTTAGTAGGTGCACTACCACTTTCCGTTGCCTCAAAAGGCGTATATTCAATAGAATAATTGCTTGAAGACGCACCATATGACACACTACCAAAGCTGTATGTTACAACGTACTTCATTGTCTGGTGAGAAGAGACTAAGACAGCGATCGACCGTAAATGACTCAGAAAAAGAAAATCATTACAACACTCGAGATATATGATCAATATCATCTGAAGAGGATGATTCTAAGAAGAATCTCTGATCGATGAACTAAGATTCTTTCACAAATTTCCAGATAACTTCTCACTGAAAGCAGTTGTAGATGAAATTTCTACCAACCGCTGAATCCACAACGCGTTCAGCAAACAACATTTTAAAGTTATCGAAGGCTGCATTTAGACGTACACGCACTGACGAAAATGATGTATTATTCTTTGGGGTAAACGATAATAATACCACATGTAACTGATCCAAACATGCAGTATATATTTGCAAAGAGAGATGCCGATGTACTTCAACCTGAATTCAGAAAGTGATCCAAGAAAACGAAGATAAATTTGACTGGGTAAATTCATTACATCCTTTTGAACGTAATACGAGGCTCCTTCGGACCACTTACAGTCAAAGGTTACATGTCAAGACACAATATGATGGAAAGATATTAAAAATGCTATATAACAATAAATAATATCAAAAGTGCACATTATCTTATTACTATTGCTTAACTACGCAGCCAAGAGTTAGTCTGGTGAAACACCAAGTGGCTATCAAGTGGAACTACTGAGTAACTAACAGCCAAAAGGAATTTTCAATACAGAACGAAATGCAAGTTTCCTTGCACTAATAAAATCACACAAGAAACGAGTTTAGAAAACAGATGAAGCGCAATGGCTAGCAGTCTCTGTGCAGTGAAATAAAGCACTGCAGTGACCGATCAT